TCATTTTATAAAATAAATTCCCTTATTGCGAAAATTTGCATTACACACAGTCCCTTACCCTTTGTGGAGCTTTGCATCCTAATATAAACTAATCACTTAACATATACATATCTACATAATGTACTGGAAAACAAATTTTAAAATAAGTGTTCACATTCTATTGGGAAGTGCTGACTGATTGAGATAAAGCCAGCAGATTACTCAACAGCTATGGCATGTTGTTGCTGCTGTACTTTCAAAGGCTTTCAACCTTCTTTATGACAGGGGAAAAAAAGAAGTATTCATAAAGATAATAGCCATAAAAGTAGCTATAACATATGTCTTCATAAAAACTACACATCAATAAGGTGTAGCCACCCCAAGACCAGAAACCCTTTTTACCAAACTCAAATTTTGTTGCAATAAACTGTGGCAGGCACAGATGGATTTGCTTTCTTAAATATTTCACTGTATTGGTGTCAAAAATTACAACAACGTGTAAGATTTACCAGAAATGATGAAGCATGTTTCTTCTCTTATTAAAGGCCAGACCGTGGCCTATTGCTAACTGGAAGAATGCCTCAGATGAAGAGGCATGACCTCATCTCCATTTAAAAGCTTTCAGCTTACTGGTTTTTTATTTGCACTGTACAGGGGGAAATTCAAGCACATGTACAAAAACTTTAGAAGCAGGTCTCCCTCATGTTATAACCTGCAGAATGTCTAGTAAGCCGCATCTTTTACCTGGGGATGTTTAGGTAAAGAGCACAAGCTAGGTAAAAATACGTATCTGTATGATTTACCATAAAATGCCTCCTTTTCTAAAGTTATCGTTACAGAATTGCTTAAAGAAAAAAAACCCAAAGCATCACTTTTAATCTTAATCTAAGAATAATGATTCATTCTAGAACAAACTCAAAAAAATGAACAGGGTCTTGCAATCTCAGTCTCCCATACTTGGATTCCCCTGAAACTCAATGGAAAAGCTGCCTTCTTGGAGTCCTGTAAAAACACCAAGTAAGTAACATCAATGTAATATAGGTGCCCTCTGTGACAACAGAAGACCCACTTAGAGACAAAGTTATATCGCATGACAACAATGAACCATTTGGGGAATCCCCACTTCTTGGAGAGATCACGTAGTCTTTATATTGGTAAATACAGTGTAGCTGAAGTTATATGCACTGGAAAAAAAAATAAATCTGGAAAACAAGATGACACAATAGAACACATGGTTTTAAAACCAAGAAGGTATAAGGTGCGTGCTGAGGAAAGCAGTTACAACAAACAGAGGAAAGCTGACAAATACAGTTTCTTTAAGGAAACAAAAAAGCAGGCAACTGGTATTGCAAACAAGTACAACAGTGAGCCACAATAAATGAGTAATTTACAACAGAAGCTTTGAAGAAAAAGCACTGTTCTGACTCTGTTTAACTACCTAACGTTCATGTTCATAAAAACAATTTCCAATGCCTGTTTTTGCTGGCCTGGATTCAGAAAGGGTTCTTGTAGTCCTATGAAGTCAACTACTTGGAATTATCTATGAAAAGCTTTGACTAAATGATATACCTACCTTTCCCTAATATGAAATTACATGATCATAAACTCAACTGGAAATTAATATGATACAAATATTTCACTGCATAGGGGAGCACCTGTTATTTTTTATTTATTATTTTTTAAGCCCACTTTTCCTGTCCTTTGTGTACTTTTGGTAAATTGCTTTCTCAAATACACTGGATACTATTCTTCAGGAAAAGAGCATCTGAAGTTAACACACCATACTTCTAGTCTGTTACAAAGTATGCAAAATATCAAAGTGCTATTTGCAATTATTCAGCTAAATAGCAATTATTCAGCTAAATATGCTATTTGTCTTGATTCAAATTATATATATAATTTAGCTCTGACTTGCATAAATCAGCCTCCCCGAAAAGGCTGACCAAAACCTACTGAAGAATTTAATAAATAAACAATACTAATAATACCTCCCACAAAATGCACAAACCCAGAACCCCAAACCTTTTAGGGTCCTTCTATTCTTAAGGGCTTGTGTGCACATTAGATAGATGATTATTATCTGTTCAGCACTGTTGATGGCATTTTCTGCACAGGAATACATGAATATTTCTATATAGAAATATATAAATACACATATACCTGGCATAACCAAAAACTCAGGATTTCTTGAAAACCCTTCTCAGTTTATACAGTGATCCAGGTCAGATATCAGTAATTTAGACACTTTCATTCCAACCACCCTTGCAACAGAGACTTGATCGGAGATTGGGTTTGACTACCTCACTCAAGTGTTTGGGCTGGAACCTAAAGTGCTTTGCTGAAGCAAGCCTTAAGCATTCTAAGTAGCTTAAGAAATGAAGTTACAGAAGAAAAAAAAAAGATAGGAAAAAAATCAAACACAAATTGTACATACACTGATGCTCACTAGAAGGATTACTGGAGTTATTCACTCATTTTCCAACTTATTTATCTACAGTTACCTTACTCGCATCATAAAAAATTATACAGCATCCTTATGGAAATTACAATTCTTGGTTACTATTAGGTTTAAGACTTTTCTTTCTGAAGCAATTTAAAGGGCGTCAGTCACTGGAGAATTACAGTTTCATTTGGCCAGAGGGACATCAACTAGGTAATACGGAAGTGCTGAGCAAAAGACTGATTAATTTAGGTATTAATCACCTCAGCTAAATTTGCCTTACACAAATAATTTACAGTGAAGCATTCTAAAATAAACCAAATGCTAATAAGCCCAAGTCTACTTTAACAGTGTTAGTATAAAATGTCTTAACTTGCGCACACACAAACCCAGAGTTCATTCCAAATGAAATTGTTAGTTATGTTTCTGTTATGGTTTTATATCTATAGCAACAGTAAATCATCAATCGAACTTCACTACTAAAACATTTAGAGACTAGGGCGGGGAGGGAAGAGAGATTTTTTTACACTGAAAAAAACCTTAAACTGAAAGTAGGCCTGAAAAGTGGACAGAAATTTATACAGCAGCAACACAATAATAGGCTGCCTTTGAAGATGGTGCAGTCTTCCACCCATTTATTTGTTCTGTCAACCAGCAGCATGCCTTCAAGCCCATTTTGCCAAGTTTCCCCTCTCCACTTAAGCTTTTTCACATGTGATTTCCCCATTATGTTAACTGACTGCTGTAAAGAATTTGGGGCTGCTTTAAGTCTTTGATATCAACTCTGTTTATTGCTACTTCCCATTCAATTTTTCATATAAAGCATTTCATTATATTCAATAGTAGTCCAATTTAGGCACTAAAATAAAAACAGTGGAGATGGCGAAGATGTTTTAAGAAATGTCATACTCGTAGACGTCCCTGCAATGTCACCGTTGCATCGGACAAGTCCCATGGACAGTTGCAGAGTGGCCGGGACTTCCTTTCTCCATGACAGAGAACTACAAGGCTGCCAGAGGGGATGCTGCTGAGGCAGCCTCTTAAATGTCCAGAAATAGATGCTTCCAGTCAGTCACCAGCTAATAAAGAGCTGTGCAAAGGAGGCTATTATCTAAGCTCTTCCTGAACTAAAGGGGTGGCTGCAACAGGAGTTTGTCAAGGGGAAGCTGCTAAGGACTCACCACTTGGACAAGGGCATCGCAACAGTGACCAGGCAGAACAGGAATCTTATGTTTCAGCAGCAACTTCTAGAGTCATCATCATATTTCGCAGGGGAGATAAACTGAAAAAAAAACCAACAACCAAACCAACAAAACACAAAAAAAACCCACAAACAACTAGGGGCTTCAGCTAACGGGCAATTGAGGCAGTCATTCTGGGCTAGCATGGTCCTGATATGGAACTCATTTCCCTGGCATAACCTACACAACTGGATACGCGTATTCACCAAGAACAGCAAAACATACAAATTCTTGTACTTATTACTTCAACCTAGGGTTTTCAGATTTGTCTTTAATACTAGAATATACTTATACATTAGGTATGGGATCAACCTAATTGAAAAGAGGGAAATGTGCTGGCCAAACCTAATCATACCTCAGGCTAACTCCACAGACATCTCCCTGACAAAGAACAGTCTACAACAGAACCTACTTATGTGAGATATCTGGAGATTTCTTAGGATCTTACACAAATAAATGTGTAACCTTATCCCGAGTCTCAAACAAATTAAGTCTGTTGCACCTGGGTAAAAACTGAGTACTAATATCAACTTGTATAACTAAGTTTGCAAAACCTTTATGAAAATGTTCTGCAACAGATACTAACAGAAGGCAAGATGTTTGGGCTTTCTTAAATTCAAAAGGCATAATCTGAATACCTGTTTATCTTCTGAGTGCATGCTTTGTGTGAGTGTACATATGATACAAGGTCACATGGCCTGCATTTTCACTGAGGACTGCCTTATCTACAATGTTTAGTTTTGCTCCATTGTGCTGCTTAGAAAGCGACATTAGGCAGCCTGACTGCCTAGTGTGGCTACATTTCCCTCTCATACTTTAACATCAATATGGTTTAATCATAAAACATAAGGATGGTTTATAAAGTAACTTAAAGTTATTAGGAGGTTTATGATGCTGTAAATTATACCTGCCCTTCAGGGCTGCACTGATTTAATTTCTCAACCACATCAAAAAAAAAAAAAGAAAAAATAAACACGTCAAACAACAAAAACCCAAAACCTGCAGGCACATATCTAGCCTCAAACAACCAAGATCCAGTGCAGAACACCAAAAAGTTCCGTTGCACTAATACCTGTCAAAGGCTGAACATGTAATCAAAGATGCATAACTACTGAAGTTGCTGAGTCTAAATAATAATATTGAAGTGTCCATTACAAAAGAACTTCTGTGTAGAAAGGCCTCTGGGCACTTGCTCATGATGCTACAAGGAGAGGTCTGCTTGTAGTTTACAGGTATAAGTGGATGTTCATGCACATCTGGCAGAGATGTAGTAATATTTCAAATGTGTTTTTAAATGTCCATTAAAATGTCTACAAATACAATATTATTTCCTCCAACAGATTAAAAAAGCTTCTTGAACAAGAAACAGCGTATCAGGCACAAAAAGAGAAGGAAAGCAACAAGAAAATAGCTAAACTGAAAGAAGAATTGACTAAACTGAAATCCTTTGCTTTAATGGTGGTGGATGAACAGCAAAGACTCACTGAGCAGTTGAATCAACAAAGTCAAAAAATTCAAGAATTAACCAATTCTGCAGAACAAGCACAAGAGAAGCTGGCTATCGCTGAAGCAAAAGTTCAAGAAACGGAACAGAGAGCCAGGAGGCTGGAGGCAGAACTTCAAACCCAAAGCAGTAAGACCTCCCAAGACCAAGAAGCAATGATGGCCAAACTAACCAATGAAGACAGTGAGAATCGTCAGCTTCGGTTAAAATTAACGGCTCTCAGCCGACAAATCGATGAGCTAGAAGAGACCAATAAATCTTTACGAAAAGCAGAAGAAGAACTGCAAGACCTAAGGGATAAGATAAATAAGGGAGAGTGTGGCAACTCCACACTTATGACTGAAGTAGAAGAACTACGGAAACGACTACTGGAGATGGAAGGAAAAGATGAAGAGCTCATAAAAATGGAAGATCAGTGCAGAGAACTTAATAGAAAGTTAGAAAAAGAAGCATCACAGAGCAAGAACCTTAAAGGAGAAGTTGACAAACTCAACAAAAGAATTATGGAGCTGGAGAAATTAGAAGATGCTTTCAACAAAAGTAAACAGGAATGCTACTCTCTGAAATGCAACCTAGAAAGAGAAAAAATGTTAACAAAGCAGTTGTCCCATGAGCTGGATGGCTTAAAAGCTAGAGTTGGTGAGCTTGAAGCAATTGAAAGTAAGTTAGAAAAAACTGAGTTTACGCTTAAAGAAGATTTAACAAAGCTGAAGAGTCTAACAGTGATGCTCGTGGATGAACGAAAAACTATGGGTGAAAAAATAAAGCAAACGGAGGAAAAGCTGCAAGCTGCAACTTCTCAGCTTCAGGTAGAACAAAATAAAGTGATGTCCGTAACAGAAAAACTAATTGAGGAAAGTAAAAAGGCACTGAAATCAAAATCTGATGCAGAGGAAAAAGTGTCCAGTGTTACAAAAGAAAGAGATGAACTGAAAAACAAACTCAAAGCAGAAGAAGAGAAAGGAAATGATCTTGTTTCTAAAATTAATATTCTAAGAAAAAGACTTCAGTCACTGGAAGCTGTTGAAAAAGAGTTTCTTAAAAATAAACTTAAGGAAAGTACTAAATCCAGCAGCTCCTTGCAGCAGGAAAACAACAAAATCAAAGAGCTTTCCCAGGAAGTTGAGAGGCTTAAGCAGAAGCTGAAAGAAATGAAGGCCATAGAAGATGATCTTATGAAAACTGAAGATGAATTTGAGTCTCTAGAACGAAGATATGTCAATGAACAGGATAGAGCCAAGCTCCTATCAGAGGAGCTGGAGGCTATGAAAATGGAAGTGGCTAGGTATAAGTTAACGGAAAAGGCTGAGTCCAGTCAAGAGCAGCGCCTTTTTAAGAAGCTTAAAGAAGAGGAAGCTAAATCAAGTCACCTTTCCAGAGAAGTAGATGCACTGAAAGAGAAAATCCATGAATACATGGCAACAGAAGACCTAATCTGCCACCTCCGAGGTGATCATACAGTCTTACAGAAGAAACTCCTCCAGCAAGAAAACAAGAACAGGGAGTTAGCAAGAGAAATGGAAAGCCTAGTGAAAGAACTGGAGAGGTACAGACGCTTCAACAGGAACTTCAGGCCTGGTCTCAACGGAAGGAGAATTTCTGACTTGCAAGCTTTTTCTAAAGAAGTCCAGACAGATCCAGCAGACAATGAACCACCCGATTACAAAACCCTCATGCCTTTGGAGCGAACAGTCATAAATGGGCAGCTGTATGAAGACAGCGATAACGAGGACAGAGGCAACAACGAGGAAGAAGAAACTGTGTCTTTCAAAAGCAACTCATCCATTGCAAATGCCGTGAACAAAAAATTATGGATCCCTTGGATGAAGTCCAAAGAGAGTCATCCTCAAAACGGAAAGATTCATACAAAGCAAAATGGAAACTGTGCACAAACTGGAGACCTAGTGCTAAGCCATACACCCGGTCAACCTCTTCACATAAAAGTAACTCCTGACCATGGGCAGAACACAGCAACACTTGAAATAACTAGTCCTACCGCTGAAAGTCCTCACTCCTACACAAGCACAGCAGTTATACCCAACTGTGGCACTCCAAAGCAGAGAATAACCATTATTCAAAACGCCTCTTTAACCCCTGTCAAATCAAAAGCAGCAGAAGGTTACGTGAGCCCCGAACCAGTAATTTCTCCTATTACTATGGCCACTTTTGCAAGATCTCAAACTCCTGAATCGTGTGGTTCTTTAACTCCTGAAAGAACAATGTCCCCTTTGGCTTTACCAGGCTCAAGTTCTCAGGAACAAATACTCTCCTCGGAGCCTCTGGAAATGGGAGCCAAGCACACCATTTTTAGAGTATCCCCAGACAGGCAGTCGTCATGGCAGTTTCAGAGATCTAACAGTACAGGATCAAGTGTAATAACTACTGAGGATAACAAAATCCACATCCATTTAGGAAGTCCTTATGTACAAGCTCTCACCAATTCCAAGCCCATCAGCCCTTGTAATCCGGTGCAAGACAACAGAACTCCAGCACTAGCTAATGGCCTTCCCAATAAGCCCACCAATAAAATCACCAGCAGTATTACTATCACACCAACAGCCACTCCTCTCCCACGGCAGTCACAAATTACAGTAAGTAATGTCTATAACTGACCCCCACCCATGCTGACACCCTTACCAGCAACCCATCCCGTTTTTCATCCCAGCAAGAATTATGTGGAACAGCCCCTTTACTTTGGGAGAGATCCGTGCATGAACTATACAACATATGGAACTAACGTTAAGTTCTGCCTGCTTAGTGTTATCAAGTGTGCACTTACTGTATATCTTCTCATTGAAATACCGTTATGTAAAATATTTAGTCTTGCACTTGTATAAATGCATCTTTATGTATTTCCATTTTCAAAATAACTCACATTACTTTTGACTGCAACTTGCCTTGGTAAAATACTTTAACATTACAAAACCAGTAAATAATTGATTATTTTTATCATTGCTTGCAGAATATTTTTGTTCGTTATGTGTGTTTTGGTGTTTTTTTTTTGCATGTATGGTGGAATTTGAATTAAGCCATAATATTGCCTGCTAACTTCAGATAAGACTTGATTCATTACCTTCCCTATTTCCCAATCCTCCTAGCCCTGTCATTTCAGATAATTATCAGTACATCACACACACACTCAAAATATTATGTATTGTATCTCATTACAAATTTATGATGCATACATGATATGTTCTAGAGTACAAACACCACTGTTCCTTCCCATCTTTTTTTATACTGTTTGGTTAAAACTCTTTTTAAACCTTCCTGCAAACCTTTCTTGTGAGCAAACTAAGTTCAGAAGCTTATATAACAAAACAATTGTCCTCAAACAAGGCAAGGTTTTTCCAATATAGTGGAAAAACTGCTATCACTTAGGTAGACTGTAAAACACTAAACAGTAACATTTTTTTTTAAGGATAACTCAGAAGAATAGATTCACACAATACTCAAATTTGATTCAAGCTCCTAGCCATCAATTCAACAAACAATAAGCATCACACAGGTACACTGAGGAAGAAACAAAATTAGCAAGCTATGGCACACCTTCATGTTTTTCATACAATAGGCAGAGAAAGCTTGACAGACGCGTGAAGAACTAGTACTAGACCAACTCTCCAAACATGTACGCCTCTAGAGCTGTGGTAAATAGGAGTGCCATATAGAACAGACCAAAGAGGTTAAGGTATTTCAATGATGGGTACAGTGTTAGTCCCTAAGAAAAGGACAGAAACATAAACAATTCTGCCCTTTTTACATGTGTGCCAAGCAGTCAACCTTAACCTCCCAGAAAATATTGCTAGTAGTGGACCAACTTCATGTGCAGAATATGTATAAAAAAGTTCTGAAATGCACTTTCAAATGTCCGTTTTTCAAAACCTGTGAACTGCAAATGTAAACTGGAACAGCTGCTTCTTATTCTAAACAGTTAAGTGTCTATGTATCTTATGCTCTGGGGGCAGGGGGGGGAGGAGCAGGGAATTATTTTTAAAAAAAATTCAACCTCAGTATCAGCAAGGAAGTTTGCAAGTAAGCAGAAACTCCCTATTCACTAAACGCTTATCTTTTTTCTGTTTACATTATCTAGAGAAAAAAAATACATTTCTGCATTATAACTTGGCATCTAATTCAGCAAAGGACTTTGATACATGCTTTCATATAACAAGGGGGTTTTTAGCACTTTAAGTCCTTTTGATGTACAAGAATTTGTTATTACAACTGTAGGTAATAACTGATTATAGAAGGAACTGTTTCTATTGAAAAGCAAAGCCTACCACCCATACAAACTTTTCTCAGTAAAATTAACAATGGGAAGAAAAAATATTAACTTATAAGAGATGATATAGAAATGGATTTAACAAATGTATTAAATTGAGCAGTGGCCATTTTAAAAAGACAAAATACAGACCAGCACAAGCATAGTTTAATGTCATGCTGATACATCTCCTGAAGTTACCAGGCTTGGTAACAGGTCCTGCCCACTTACTTTCTCTCAGTTTATCTCCATTGACAGCAAAAGTGAGATTTGACTAAGATCTGGGTCGGAATAAGCACGCAGTCTTATCCCGCAAAGGAAACCTGGGCTCCCACCAACTTCAGCAAAAGTTACTGATCAAGACAGCAGCCAGCACTCAGGCGAGTCAAGATTATACTAATTTTAGCATGTGCTAATTGTAAGAACAAGTTACTTCAGGTTATACACTCTTAACTGCAGGGCTCTTTTAAAATTAAAAAGCAGTCCATTCAGAAACACATTCTGCACACTTCTGCATACCCTGCTGATCCATAGCAAAGATGTCTCAGGGACACAAACATGGTACTGGATAACTGTGTCTGACACATTTGCCAGTGTGCTAACACACACCAGAATATCCAAAAATTAAAGGATTAACAGTTGTCCTCCAGAAGCACTAATATTTTCTTTGGTGGGACTTAAAAATCTTGTAGTAAAAAACATTTCATTTCATACCTGTACTCCAAACATACAAAAATGTGTTGAACATTAACCAGCTGGCCATCTGTTACAATGTCTTGCAAAAGAAAAGCACAAATCAGGATACAGCAATAAGCACACTTAGTCCTTTGGACAATTCCCAAGCTATTATGAATAGAAAACCTAGGTGAGAGTTCACACCACTTGTAAGTTTAATAATTAAGCAGGATAGTACTTCTGTCCCTGTCTTAATCCTTACACTCCTGATGGTTTACCAGTAACTCTCCAGTTAACAAAAGACAAAGGAAGCAACCATTTATGACCAATTAACTCCTAAGTAAGAAGCATCACCATCACCTGTACATGAACTTGCTAAGACCACACCTCGATGAAGGGATGCTTATACTGCCCTGCTGACAAAACGATCTATGTGTAGCCCCTAGCTGATTTCACAGTGGAATTTTGGACATTCATTTCAATAGATGAAAAAGCAAATAATTATTTTGACTAAAAATACGGTTTGCAGAATAAAGCATGTTAAAATTCGCACAATCTATTTCAAAGCACACAGCATTTCAAAGCACACAGCATAGAAAATAAACATCTGCATGTATCTGTTGACAGCTGAAACTTACTTAATTGTTTGAACAGAAATAAGTCAGCTGTAATTTTATCACAGAGTAACAATAAGCAGATTACCTATTTACAAATTAACCTCAAATTGTTCAGATTGCTAATCCATATATCATATGATTTCTACTTTGCTGAGTGGGAATATTCACCTACTTCCTTGGCAGACAAAGAAAAAACAGAGCAAGGAAAAAATTAAATGAGATGTCTGCAAATTGATTTAAACATGCCAAACAAAAAAAATCAAGCCTAATCATATTAAGATTCAACCAAGTAAGGCAGCTTTTCTAGGAATTTCAAGCATTCCATAAACGGTAAGTATTGCTGTTAATTTGGCTGCTGGGACACCTTTGTTTTCAGCATTTGTTCAAAAACCTCAAGTCTGACAGGTAGTAATCGTTCAATTAAGTTAAAGGCAAACATGGTCACAAAGTAAGCAGCATCTATCAGAGCGATTAAACTGTGAAAGAGCATGAAAGTAGTTTTCAGCAGATCATAATATCATTCTCTCTTCCAAAACTCTTAGCAACACCTCTTCTGAAGTCTAAAAAAAAGCCTATCCTTTCCCCTGGATGTTAAATTCCCAGGAAAAGAAAGGGAGAATTAACTGATGAAAAAAGGCAGAAGTTATCAGCCCACTTCCCTTCACCTTTTCAGTTTTATTTCAGTGAGTGACGAAAGGAATACAAGCAAGGGCAGCACAAACAGTTTGGTGATCAGCATTTTTAAGTCATTCTTTTTATGCAATTTAAATACGTCAGAGGGCATATTTGTACTTTTTGTCCTTACAGGGAGGAGAACGGATAAGGGGAGGGAGGGAAAAGAAGGAAAAGAAAAAAAGAACATAATGAGAAGCAGTAAAGGTATTCTGAGAGCAAAGTGCCCATCCATCAACTGAGAGGTAGTATTACAAGTTATTTAAAAAGCTCTCCCGAGTAGCTAATTAAGAAATAGAACGACAAAAATTACAGAAGCCTAATCTTCCTGATCCAAAGCACAGTACATAACATGGTGTCTGGGGACGGAATGTAAGGCTGTAATAAAAAAAAAGGTCTGTATGTAAACACCTCAAGAAAGGCTTAAGAAGACGTGCTCCCCACACTGCGGAAAAAATAATAAGAAACAGAGTTGTACAGCATTAGTTTCTGATTAAGATTGAATGGATGCTGCAGGGTTAGGTGATGCAAACGAAGTAACCATCTGCAGGATGACTTTGTCCCTAGGAAACAAATATTGACATAGGCAAAACAAAAACTGACAACTGCCTAATCTGCAGGCTTAAGCAAAGACTACCAAAACATTATGTTACCTAGAAACAGAAGAGAAAAAGATCCCACAGTACAAGTACAGCATAAGTGGGTGTATAAAGACATTTTTAAATTGTCACCAAGTACTGTAAGTGGGAAATTGTTCAAAAAATAAGACCCACCTTAAAATTAAGAAGCACGAAGCATTTTCACAAACCTGAGGTCAGTGGCCCCAAGACATAGCTGAATTCTCTTACTAGCACATCTCACATTGACCCACTGTACTGTGGGCATAGAGAAAGCCTCAAATACCAGAGCTGCCAACTGAACATGATTCCCCTCCGACCACTATGCAAAATGCTCTTGGGAAACAGATTTTGAGTACAAGAGGAAAGACCTGTTTTAATCAATGACTCTCCACTTGACAAGCAGTGGCCTGACATCACAGGGTCCTTGTACGGGATGGACAAAAGCAGCTTCCTCCCTTTCTTACCCCTACCACACCCATATCACAAAATTCTGTCCTATCAGTTCTGCCATCATCATTGTTCAGGAAGGCAGCACTATAAATCACGTCAAGAAACTAATCTGGATTTAAAAAGGAGAAAAACATAAGGCAAAACCTATCACACTCCACAAATCCTTATTACAAAAAAACCCAACTGATCCATTTTGCAGGTCAGCTCTACAAAAGAGCTACATCAGCATAGCTGAAAGGGCAAGCAAAAAGAATGAGTCCTTTATAGGAGAAACACTGCCGAAGTCCTGCTCCCATCACCTTAGATGCTACCAGTATTGCCTGAAGAGATATAGTTGTAGAATCATAGAATGCGTTAGGTTGGAAAAGATGACTAAAGGTCATCTAGTCCAACCCCCTGCAGTGAGCAGGGACATCTTTAACCAGGTCAGGTTGCTCAGAGCCCCATTAAGCCTGACCTTGAACATCTCCAGGGAGGGGACCTCCATCGCCTCTCTGGGCAACCTGTGCCAGTGTTTCATCACCCTCAGAGTAAAGAACTTCTTCCTAACATCTAATCTAAATCTACCCTGCTCTAGTTTACAACCATTGCTCCTAGTCCTATTGCTACACATCCTTGTAAACAGTCCCTCCCCAGTTTCCTGTAGACCCCCTTCCCA